AAAAGAAAATTAAATTAAGTTTTGCCTATTCCTGATCCATTTATAAATTATTAGACTAACACGAATATTAAAATTATAAAATAAAATAATTATTGTCAAGATGCGTTAAGCAAGTTCAATATTTTATGGCTTCTATTAATTTATGAAGTTATCACTTCTGTCGGGCGTCTTTGGGAAGATTTTGTATTCCTCCAGCCGCCGGGCAAACAGAAAAAAATGCATGAGCAAAAATTAATACTAAGCACTTACCATTAAGGTGCTCTTTATTCTGTCCAACTTTTTGTAACAAAGTTGGGTCCTGTCGGTATTCGACGTCACGATTGTCCAGGCTTGACAGCAAAACGTCAGAATTTACCCAAATAAAAAATCGCGTTTTTTTCCACTAAACAGCCTTACCGGTCGGATGAGTTTTTGTAGAACTGTCACCCACACGGCCTGTTTTAGGAAATCAGTACTTTCCTGCATGAAACTCGAGAATTTACCCAAACTTTTTAAATTTTGCTGGAGCGAACAGCAGCGCGCACGTTCTCTGTGTTTAGACATTTAGGGAGGAACTCAATAGTTGGGGGGGCAACCTTTTCATTTGTTTATTAGACATTTTTGCTTCAAATGGGCTCAGAAATATAATTTTAAAAACGTATTCATATCAAAATAATAAAAAATGTATGAAAAAATTGTCCATGTTCTAAAGTGTTTGAAAACAAAATATTTAACCTAAACCATTTCGATATTGCTAGGGCCACCTGTGCACTAAATATCGCACTTGGGTCAAAAAGCATTTTTTTTTTAGTATTGGCAGCTTGACTGTTTTATTAAAATAATCCTTAAATTCTCACAATATAACGCAACAAAGGTACAAATAACACAATTAAAGATACCACTAATCACAGATCACAGAGTGTGTGATCTGTGTCTCTGTTATATGTAAAACCAAATTAACCTCTGTGATCTGTGCTTATGGTTGATTGCAGGTGACGATAACCACACTTTTCAGTCCATTTTGTAGGGTTATGAGAGCAGCGTTTAACTATCTTTAACTTTAGAGTCAGTGCAACCCCTTGCAATGTCTACAAGATGGTAAATATCCATTTATTCCAGGGCTCATTTGCTCATGCTTCAAATTGATCGCAGGTATCCGTTGTACCAACAGGGTGGGCCGCAGTTGCGGGTGTTTTTGCCAAACTTTTGGATGAAACTTGTCAGACCGACAGGCGAGCATCCCCCCAATTTGGTACAGTTTTCCTGCTCAATGCAAATGACCAAGTTTGATATCAAAAGCTACTTAGAGAAAATCTACAACGTAAAAACAGTCGATGTTCGGACACGAATCGCTCTGGGAAAAACGAGAAAAGATCCAGGAAAGGGCTATGTAGTCAAGGATGATGATATTAAATATGCGTATGTTACATTGGTGAGTTCGCATGCTTTTAATGGCCCATCAACAGGCATGCATGGAAGCACACATTTGGAAATGATTTCAGGAAAAAGGAGAATCGTTTGAGTTTCCTGACCTATTTCCTGGTGCCGAAGAGAAGATGGATGAATACGAGAAGTCATTGCGCGCCTCAAAGGAAGGTTTCACCAAATACGTCGAGAAAAACAAGCAAAGGCCTGGAATGCCAGGTTGGTTTTCCATCTAGATTGTTTTGTTGTAGCTTAGATTGTATATATAAGAGTAAACAGTGTTTGTTGGAGTTTTTCTCGTCGATATATGAAAAAGCCACTCAAATAACTATCTATTTGCCAAACGCAAACCTTACATCTACAATATCATGCTATAGTAAATCCGGGCAATTTCATAATTTATTTATTCTAGGCAGCAGTATGTTTTACCGGTATAAACTAGGCTTACAAACTATAATTCCGAAATATTTCAGCAACAGTCATTTCGACGGTTATCCGAAACTTTCCAGCGCAACGTGGCTTAAATTACAATGAAACAAAATCGTTTTTGTGTTTTTACAAAATCCGTGGAGATAATTTGATTGTATAAAAGATATATTGTCAAATATTTAACACTATAACATTTAGCAGACTAACAAGAAACGTGAATGACAATGCCTAGTTTTGTTATCAAACGATTGCTTCGAATGTAAAATAGCAAAACCAGTTGCTAATACAAGAGATGAACCGCAAACTGTAAATAAATATCTGAGAATGCGTAAACTTAATATAACGAAACATGCTCCAATTGTTCCAAACCATGTTGTCGGTGTCAAATGGGAGCATGAAAGTATACGATGTATATAAAAGTCCACACCCATACAAATAGGAAGCATTATACCTTGTCATATCGAGGATTATAATATTAAAATATCATTCTGTACATAATCCCTATGCTTAGGTATCTAGCCCATGAAGATTTATGCTCAATAGAACTCGATCGAACTCGACAGAGGAATAACAATTGCAGTTGACTATTCACACTAAATACTAAAAATAATAATCGTTCGATATGTAAAATTTACCGAAATAACAAACTGTTTGTCATGCACTATGCATTATAATACATCTTGTCTACAGCCGCAGTTTGCACGTGAATGAAGTGTTCGCAAAAAATGTACTTTTTGAACTTCACTAATTGCGAAAGTCATCTGATATCGACTCTCTTTAATGTTAAGTATAATTTTATCAAGAATTCAACGTTTCGCTCGTTTAAAATTGCATATTACAGGAGAAAATTATGATATATGATAGGCAAAAATATCCGCAACTGCTCGAAAACCCTCCCGCTGGCATGTAGAGATTGCGGTTTTCCGATAAAATACTGATACGTTTTTCCACGTCTAATTGACTTCCCACAATTAATTTGTATGCTCTTAAGAAATTACGTCATTCAATTCAGCAGATGCCGGTAGATTAAAGCGAATGTTTCTATTGGTTAGAGGTTTCAGTTCGTACGACGAAACACTTTTGTATCATCCTATAAACGGATGCATGGGACAGAGGCTTAAGGCGTTATTTTTGCGCAACAACTTTCAAAATGAAATATTAAACGCAACTCAAATCTTGGTATCAAATAATGAATTAGTCTTTTACGAATACCCCTAATTAAATTGTCATGTGTTTGCCCGATTTGAAGTCACTGTTATGTACAGGTGAAGCATCCAATGAGGATTTTGTGTAGTGTTCCATGCTACGATTAAATTCACAGGGAGAAATACACGGTATTATTCGCCCCATGAACTATTTGTCAGTCGTTTATAATTCTCCGATATTTCTTGCCGGGGGGTTGCAGATCGTCGTCATTGTCCGCAACCTGCGCTCTTGGATGCACATATTCGGGCAGAAACTTTTCCAGCTGTTCGTCGAAGAACTTTTCCAACGTTTTTGCGTCCGAGTAGACTTGCGAGTCAACCTAACAAAGTTGAGAACATTTATTGCCGATAATTTATGACGAAATTCGCAACGCTTACCGAGTTGAACGTATACGCGTTCATGAACATGAGACGAACGTCTTTTACCAGCTCGTCGATGTTTCTATAATGGTTTTCAACATTCCAGTTTAGCTTTTGGCGGATTACATCTAGTGCGATGGGTTTCTTGATTATTTCATGGTACTCAGTATTCTAGAAATATTTGCAGTTGATGATGGGAAGTACTAGAGTATCATGAAAAATATATTTACCTCAGGACCAATAATCTCCCTGAAGGGTAAACTAGTTTCATACTGACAGTACAATTCTAAGACCAGGCGTTCGGCAATCTTTCGTTTCCTCACGCTCAGCTCCTGGTCTGCCTTCTCATGCAGGAGGTTTTCGGGAATATCAGAAAAGTTCATGCAAAGCAGACACTGCCAAGTATCATTTTCTCTAGAATTGAAAGTATGCTGGTGGAATTTCATCCAGAATCTCGGGCTGGATTGCGCCTATTAATTAATAAGAAACAAACTTACTCAACGCTAAGGTTTGGTATATGACAATACTGATGGAAAACTTTAGGACACTTGTCACAACACACCAGTTCTCCCCCATCCATACACACGGCACACCAGTCTTCATTCGGATCGTCTTTGCTTGTCTCCATCATTTCTGCCTTGATTTTAGGAGCTGGAGTGGCGTCCCCTGTCGAACTATCCACATGGGGCGAGCCGCCTGATCAAACATGCTTATTTCAGTGGCAGATTCGCACGTTTACGTTGATTAATTTACCTTTCTGCCGTCCTTCCGCAAGCACTTGAACGCCATTAGAGTCGAGCTTTGCTATGGTGGCCATCAGATCTTTAACAGACTCTTCGCAAAACTTGTCCAAGCTTCGCTCGGTGTCTTGATGTCCCTGTATGTGATTGGGACTAGGAGTTTTTGGAATTGTCGAGGTGACTGTCGCTGGAGGATTTTTGTTCGTTTCCGGCTGTTGCCGTAAAGTTATCTTGAAATTGTCGTTAATAGTCGGCATACTGGAACCCGATCGGTTCTGTAGCTGGTTGCTTGAGTCTGGGAAAAAATATTTTGCTCAATAGAATCAAAAGAGATAGACTTTCGAGGTCATTTCTTGAAACTAATGGGTTTTTCACGGCCTAAAAACCCGAAAGACCCATTAGTTTTTAATAGAATCAAAGATTTCGTTAAGGACTACCGTTGGTTTGCTGAGGCGTGTGCCACTTGGCCCCAGTTCCAACAGGGGCGGAATTAGCAAAATCCTGTTGAGACTTGCTTTGGACGATCATTCGGCCCTGGCCCTGTTGAGTAGGGATGAGCATCCGCACCTGCTGTGGCTGCTGATTGCTGAATCTGACCACAGTAAACATTCGTTTGAAGTAGGAAAATCGGTCGGGGCAAAGTGAATTACCTGACGGATGGGTTTGGAAATCGGCATTGAAACTGAGACGATTGAATAGCTTGATATTGCGATGGGCCGGTTTGTATATAAATAGCATTACTATTGTGGGGTTGCAACAGATGCCTCAAGTTACTCCTATCGTGCATCATGCCATGGGGATGAGTGGACGAGGATACCTGGGAAAATAGAGAAAGCTTCGCATGAAATGGCAAATTAGTTAACAAGAAGTCAGCTCACCTGTTGCTGTTGCTGGTTGAGGCCCATGGGATTATTCGGCATCCTCGGCATAGACGACCGCTGTAGGATCGGTCTTTGCATTCTGGTCAGCGAAATTGCTGCGAGCTGCATATTATTCAAATTGGGGGGACCCATGCTTGGCATACGATTTTGCAGACTATTGATATTTGATCCTGAAAAATCGAATTGTCGACAGGCATGCACAGAAAATTTACGGCTACTAGTTACAATCAGCAAATCACTCACCAAATTGTTGGGAGAGGTTTGGGTTGTTATTCTGGCTGATGCTCTGCATCAATTGCGAATATTGCTGGTTATTCGATGCGTATTGTCCATATAAGGGTGGATTTCCCATGCGAATGCCCACCTTGAAAGAAGGTTGATTGTAGTCTGCTTGTTTAAGCCACACAGCGACGACATAAAACCACTAACACTAAAGCGGCCTTAAAGGTTTATCATGCATGGTGCTTCCCTTGTTTCTCAGAATAAACGGCAATGTGTGGAATACATTGCCACAAGCATGCAGTGCTGGAGAAGAACCGAATCAGCCACTCTGTGAATTCGAAATTGCCTCAAGGATATTTTTAGAATTACACGGACCAGAGCAGAGCCCATCAACACAGGAGAAGGCATGCTCTTCCATTGATAGACAAACAACTGCTAAATAAACTACTTTACCTCTGTGTAATGCAACCTATTTGCCAACGGCTAATGATAAATCAGATTTATGTAGGATTTTCCGCTTTAAGTTACTGACTATTTCCCATCTTCAGTCGATATAAAGAAACGCAAAAATCGTACTTGTGATTGTTGCTGCTGTTGAGGAGTGGGTGGGAATCCAGATGGAGACGTTTGCTGGACTAAAGGACTTATCGGAGACTGTTGCGAAGTTGGCCGCATTTGTCCTGGGCTGGGGGACTGATTTGGATGATACGAAGGGACTCCTGGAGAAGTCGCCTGCGAAGGGTACACTCGTCCATCCACAACAATCTGACCAATCGTAGACATTACTGTGAAACATCATTTAAAACCTTATTAATTGAACAATCGAAACTATCGTGATGATTAGGACGCTTCACAGGAACATTTACCTGAAGACAATCCTGCACAACGCATTGCCAGCACAAAAAATCATAATTACTCAATGCTGAAATAAAGTTAGTTCGACTTTTGTCAAGTACCTTTGATTAAATCGGGCACTTTGTCCAAAGCGAGGTGGATTCGCACTGGAATCTCAGGGTTTGGTATGTCTGCCCGCTTGCATTTGATCCGTTTCAGGTGCTCAGTGACTTGCTTCTTGCTGTAGAGCAGCGCCATATCATTACCATGATCCAGAGCATACTGAGTGAACTCGATGCAGTGATCTGTCATTTTAGAAAGCTGCTCAAGAGCCAGCTTTTTCTCTTGAAGTGTTTTTTGCTTCGAATCGCAGACTTCGGTCAGTTTTCCCACCAGCTGTTTCCCACGAGTGCTGACTGTTTGAGTCAATCTGAAACGCAACCCTTTGGTTGTCAGCAACTTCTACTAAACACGTTTCGATACACTCACTTCACTACAAGCTGGGTGATTTCCTTCACCAATGCCTGCTTTTTCTCAGTTATCAAGCTTTGCCTATCGTCAATTACCTTCATTGCACTGGTAAGTAGGGCTCTTTTATAACTGAAATTAACATTCAAGAGTAGTAACTTTTCACCAATCATCCATCGAAAGCACTCACCCAACATCTTTAAGCATGTCAGCGATGTACTTCTTTGCTTCTGATGCAATTTCATTGGTAAACTGATACTTGTGCTCTCGATGTTCGATCAATTGGCAGTCTCTGCATGTGAGTTTGTCGCATGTTTCACAAAAGAGTGAGAGCTTCTCATGGGGATGATTCGCGCAAAACAAACTGGCATGGCCATTGTTCAGGGCATTCAACTCATTCAAGCCCTCCTCCTTAGATTTAATTGTATGATCCTTGGTTATCTTTAATCTAAAAGTTGAGGAATTTATTAATTGAAGATTTATGAGCACCACGATTGCCAAATAGACACCTCTGATGAGCTTGAACACAGTTATCACAAATGAATTCGGAACAATCAGCACAGTAGCTGGAGGCCGGCGCCTCATCGCTGCAGCTGCTGCATTTGAGATCAGTCACCTTGGAAGCATTGCTGCTCTCGTCACTATTGGTCAGTTCAATGAGAAAGTGATTTTCAATTAATCTGGATGCTTCGCACGGGATGTTGCATGTGGGGCAAGTGATCTGATTGCCTTGAAAAAAATTTAAGGTATCAAATTTGCCCATTTAGGTCAGTTTTAGGTGCAATTGGCTTGGAATTTTCTCTATGGCCGTTTTGTTTATTATAAAATACATATAGTTTTTTAATAGTCAGCAGACAACCTTCGATGTATGAAAAATTGCGGGCCTATACAAAACAAAATACTATTTAAAGGTAATAGTTGTGTAAACAGATCTGTTTTGCCAAACAATTCAGCAGAAAGCTTTTCCTTTTATTAAATATTGTTATTACGTTATATACAGGGTGTTAATGTAACCCTGTTACAAACTTTGAGGGTTTACTCCTTTCAATAAATGATTGATGACACAAACGCCTCGTTGAGCAGTATAATAAAGGGGTTAAAAGTTTACAGTTGCAGTTTTAAATTTATATTTTAATTTTGTCCTGAATTAATTTAATACTCAAGTATTAATATGGTATTAAGTATCGCAAAAATTGCTCGAAACTCCCATCACCACAAGCGTGCATCATTAACGCGATGAAATAAGTTACAGTGCGAAAAGTCCGGCAAGCCAATCTTCCTCTCAACTCACTGGTGTTTGTATTAACACCCTGTATTATTAAATAGAGAACTCAGGTAAATTTTGCAAGTTGATTTAGAGGCTGATTTCCGCAGAACATTCAAAAGGCATGCTGCTTCAGACGAAATAAACCTTTAAGCGCAAAAGCTTACGAATCGCAAAAAACTTTTTCCCCGTTAGACTACGAAAACCCTCGGAATTATTAGATTCTTTGAAATATCAATGAATTACGATACAATTCCACATTTCAACCGTTGTGCAAATTGTACTCATAAAAAGTTACAGATTCAGCAAAAGCAATGTCCTTTATAGAATTTCGTGCTCTGGTTAGCAAACAGTGGGGTTTGCTGAATTGGCTCAGAAATCAGCATCAAAGGGCGGATTGCCATTGAGAAAACATATATTTTCATTTGTATTACTTTAGGCTCATGTTACGTTATATTGGGTGCATGTTGTTCCTGTGTGCTAACAGTAATGACTGCAACTTACCAGCTGAACCAGAAGACTCATTATTTTCAAATAGTTTCGCATTAATACAATTGGTGCAAGCATTGTGCAGGCATTCCAGCAGCTTAGGATTATCCGAAGCAGTCAGAATATGATCGCAATAGATACACTTAAAAGCAAAGCCTTCTGCAGTGGCTGTGGGGCTTTCAACATGTTGCACTTCGCTGGAATTGCAATTATCCTTGTCCGCCTCCTTCAGACTGGATTCTTGTTCATGGGATTGAAGGTCTGCCAAAGTATCGGTCAGGGATTCACCCAGATCAGTGGGCTCTGTACCAAGGGACACATTAGTGAGGAAACTATCAATCATCTGTAAGTTGTCTGTGTCCGGTGAGAACATGTTATCGACAAGACTCGGATCAGTCTGATTTAAGTCGGTCATGATATTGGGGTCGCTGAGAAACTCTTTTGGATCGGCCATGGCTTTCACACACTTTGAAACTGAGTGGACGTTGTTTGTAAATAAAACCGACTGTTTTATGGTCACATTTCGAAAAACCGTGTCCCGCACAACATCTACGATTGGCAATCAATGCTCAATTATCAAAACATTACGATTTTTCCACAGTTTTATTATGAATTTTGGCGATTTTCAATCGCAACTTCACCCGAGTTGACAGTTTTGCAGATGCAGACGCCTTTCCAGGCTGTGAATACTTTGCATAAAAAAGCGATATCCCTAGAAGTTTTGTAGTCGAGTTTTGCGAAAATCAGGCAAAGTTTCTGCTGAGTTTGTATTTAATTAAATCCAGACTACTACAATTATATCAGATCAATGCCAGCAGTGCAGCTAAAGCACACTTAATAATCTGGATTCAAATATTAATCTTTTGTTCGCGGGTGTGGACAACCTGCGATTTTTTTAGCGCACGGCCCAAGCTAGGTCTATCTCTTTTACTCTTGTGTGTGGAAGTGGAAGGCCGAGCCAGCACAAATTGATTTGACGAGTGGCTCATCGCAGTAACGCCTGTCATGGATCCATCATTTGGATTCAACGTTACTAACCTAAAAATTTCAAGTTTGTTTTGTTTATGGAAGGCTCTTATACGCTCGGGTAGGGTTGATGGCTATGGTATAGACGTTTTTATTAGTTTTCCCTTTGGAAAGTTACTGAAACAAGGAGACAATGAAGTCCTGCGTACGCCATTACATATCCTTA